ATAAACATTAAAGGAAAAAAAAAAGAGAACAGTGACTGGAGGGGTGCCTGTGTGGCTCAGTCAGTTAAATACCTGACTCTTGGTTTTGGCTCAGGCATGATCTTGCAGTTGGTGAGATTGAGCCCTGTATTGGGCTCTGTTCTGAGTGTGAAGCGTGCTTGGGATTCTCTCTCTCTCCCTCTGCCCTTCCCCAACTTGTGCTCTGTCTCTCCTAAATAAACTGGGGGGAGGAATAGTGACTGGAATTGACAATGAGATAATTCCTTTCATTTTTACCTTTTGTCAGGTATTCCTACATATATTTCACTCTTAGCAGCAGATAGTTTTTCTCGTTATCCTGGAATGCTGTATATGAATTTAATAGGCATTTTGACTTGTCATCAGTGTCTGCTCTCTGTGTTAAGTGTTTATCTGTAATGTTGACTTCCCTTTCAGGTGTCGATTTACCTCTCTTACCTGCATAAACCTGTAGCAAAAACTAGCCTGGAATTTTGGTGATTAATCACTTTTCAAGATTTTGTAGGTGGTCCCACTGACCTTATGGAACTGGTAGAAACTAAGAAGTGCCAGATTCCACAATTCCTGGTGTTCCTCAGTAATACTAGGAAATTGACCATGTGGAATACATGCCCCCTAATAGTAAGAAATTACTACTTACAGCCTAGGAGAAATTTGTTTGCAAGCCTCTTATGAGGTCAAGACTTGTCAGTGTGTTTCTTTCTTCTTCCCTTTTGTCTCCTTACTCTATCAGTCATCTCAAATTTGACTTCCTTTTTTTACCCATTACTCTTAAAAACTATAATAAATTAGGCAGTTAATTCAGCTTACAGTTAGCCAAATAATTTTTTAATACCGTTCTTCTAGAAGAATGTCAGTGAGTAGTTTGTCCTAATGTTAATTAAGTCTTTGGTGATTAAATGCATGTTTAGGTACAAGGGGAAAATCGGCTCTAAAGCCTTACAGGTAATGTGAATTGAGACAGTCTTTTTAAAAAGAGCAATTATTTTATTTGACTATGAAAAATTATTACTTCATACTCTTGCTGACTTAATTCTCTGTCCTCTTATGTTTAAAATCATTCATTCCATTTTCAGTTTTCAGTAGCTACTTTGGTTATATACATTGGCATGGGTCAGCACCCAAGTGAATGTGCCAGCAAGAATGGATTTGTAATGGCTTCTCAGTTTGGTTTGGTTTTTAGCTTGCTACTTTAATTCTGTGCTATTTAAAGGTCAGTAAAAAACAGGGTCTGGTAATCACTGGAAGAAATGAGTACCCTTGTAAAATGATCTTGAAGAGAATAAAAATTTAGGCCTATATATTTGTGTGAGTTAAAAAAGTTAATGTACTGAGGAGGCATGTTTAAAGTGTACTTTTATGTAATAATTTTTAAAAGCATTGCTCCCTCATAGCATTTCCTACATATCGCCTGTTGGTTTATGAGAGAAATCTTCCTAAATTCAGGATTCCTCATAACTTTTCTCTTGGTTCTAAGTGTAAATAATACTCAGTGTTCTTTTAGTCAAGAGCTACCTTTTAAGAATGGAACTAGAATTGGCTAAAAGAAAAAAAAAGGTAAGACTTACAGAAAAATAAGTTCCTTTCAAGTATGACTTATTATTCCTTCACCTAGTCATTGACCTCGGAGGAAATGACTGAAGAGGAATAAAATGGAACAGATTGACACAGAACTCTTTGTCTAACAAGTTTTTTGGTGTATATATAGGGGTGGAGTCATGTTACAAACCTTTGTATACCCTAAGTAATTATATTTTTAGAGACTCTAAGCTACATGGTAGCTAAACCTTACTAAACCTTACTAAAATATACCATCTTCATTAAGCCTTTCTTTGCTATAAGAAACTGAATAGAGGGGTGCCTAGGTGGCTCAGTTGGTTAAGCATCTGACTTCAGCTCAGGTCATGATCTCACAGTTCTGCTTGGGGCTCTGTGCTGAGAACTTGGAGCCTGCTTTGGATCCCACCCCCGGTCTCTGCCTCTCCCCCTGCTCATGTACATGTACACACACACACACACACACACACACACACCCTCTCTCTCTCTCTTTAAATAAATATGCTTAAAAGTTAAAAAAAAAAAAAAACCCAGCTTAATGTTAACATAAACATTTTTGATGAAAAATAACTTTTTTTGTCCTCTAGAAATAGCATAAAGAGTGGCATTATTTTTACAATTTTTACAAATCTCTTTAATGTTTGGCTTAGTGTATGTTTGCTACATCTTCATATCTACTTCTGCATTTAATTTGTTAAAATATGTTGTTGGAAAAAAATGTGTTGAAATATATATGAAATAAATCCAGCCTCACACAAATATGTAGTTAGAAGAATATTTTAATAGTTTTTCTGTCTGGAAAATATTGTGTGTATTCTTCTGTTATATTATACCAAAACTTGACATATAATACTTCTTTAAAGATAAGGGGTACCTGGGTGGCTCAGTCGGTTAAGTGACTGACTCTTGATTTCAGCTCGGGTCATGATCTCATGGTTTGTGAGATTGAGCCCCTCGTCAGGCTCTGTGCTGACAGCATGGAGCCTGCTTGGGATTTTCTCTCGCTCTTTTTCTCTGCCCCTCCCTGTTCTCTCTTTCTAAAAGGAATAAATCGTAAAAA